AATTTAGTATAAGCTAAAACGGTATCTCTTATCGGTGGAGAAAGATGCCCATTCAATAAATGGTGTTCAAGCAATTGAGCAGCTCTGAGGAGAAAATATTACAGTTGGATTCAAACCTTTCACCTTTTGTCATGATAAATTCCAGATGGATAACATTTTTAGAAATAAGAAAGGGAAAGAAAATTCTAAAAAAAAAAAAAAAGAAAGAAAATTCTGAGCATGGAAGAATAAATTGTTAGGTAATTTTTAAATATAATTTCAGAATAGGGTAGGCCCTGAAATATAAAATAAAAGCCAGAATCCATAAAAAAAAAAAAGATTGGTATATACATAAAATCCAGTACTTCCGTATGGCCAAACAACAACAAAACACTGGCAAAGTTGAAAGACAAAAAACAAACTTTAGGAAAAAATTGCAATTCAGATAACACGTAAAGGGTTCCTACAGATTAATATGAAAAATATCAACAGGAAAAAAGAGTTTGCAGAAAAAGAAATAAATAGAAGGAAGTTCTAGTTCACTCATATAAAGATAGCATTTTCACCTGTCCGATTGGGCAAAATCAAGTTAAATTCGCTGTTGAAACAAGCATGGTTTATTTACATCACTCCAATTTTACTAATGAGAGGTTAAATTGTTCAACACCATCATGGGCAATCTGGAAATATATATCAAAATCATACATGGGCCTGTATTTTAATGCAACAATTTCAAGTCATCCTATATGTGTGCTCAAGCATGTGTGAAATAATGTGTGTACTAAGTTATTTAATACATAATTTTCTGTAATAGCAAAAGATTGGAAATAATCTAAATGCTTTCCAATACAAAATTTGTTAAATTGGGCTACATCTCCATAGCAGAGCATTATGTAGCTGTTAAAAAAAAGACAAGGAAGCTCTTTATATACTGATGTGAAGGGGTTTCCATGACCTATTGTAAAGTAAACAGTAAGCCAAAAACTGCAGTCATTAGTTGTCTCCAGAAACGAAACAACTGGGAAAGAGATTTTCTCTTCACACCCCTTTATCTTTGGAAATGTGAATGCTGTTAGTGTATTACTTAGTCCACAAACAAATAACATTTAAAAATGAATAAAAGTCCTTGCCACTTCGATTGTTTTCATGTAAAGAGTTTAGTATTTTATTGAGTATTTTGACGATCTTGCTACAGCGAATAGCTAAAGATCTTTCAGGACTTCCATGTTATCATGGTCTTTACAGAGTTGGATTTTAAACATTAATCCTCCAAGCAAGGAGAATGACAAATAAAGCCCATTTCTTCTGAATGTGGCACTTTCTACTGTGCTATTACCTGATTTAATGTTACAGGTTAGAATTGGTGGACAGCAAAATTCTAAGACAACCCCCAAGTTCGCTTGAGTTTTATTAGAACATAGCCCTGCCCCTTTGTTTATGTGTAATCTGTGGCTGCTTTCCTGTTACAACACAGAGCTGAGTACTCCCAAGAAGTCACATGACTCCAAAAACCTACAATCTTTAGTATTTGTTCCTTTACAGGAAAAATTGGCCCACCTGTGGTTTAAACCATTTTGAGTTGGGTCTTCTGTTATTTGCAGCTTAAGAGCACTTGTGCAATATTGATCTCTTTCATTCTGATGAAAAGTGAAATAACACTAAACTCAAATTGATAATAATGACTATGCATGTTTCAAAGTAAACCTTTATTAAAATAAAATAGGCTATACATACAGAAAAGTTTACAAATCATTATTGCATAGCTCCATGCTTGTGTAGCTATCACCAAACTCTAGGAGTTCCCTTTAAGAACTATATCCCCCACCCCAAAGAAACTCACTGTTCAGATTTCTATCAGAATACATCTCTATAGACAAATTTTGACTGTGGACTTCAGATAAATGGATTCATAAGTATGTGTCCTTTTGTGTCTGAATTCTTTTGCTCAGCATTTTGTTTGTGAAATTCATCTATATTGTGCAGGAGCTCACTTTCTCTCATCGCCATGTAACATGCCATCGTACAAACATACCACAGTTTATTTATCCAGTCTACAGTTGATGGACATTTGAGTTGTCACTAATTTTTACTATTACGACTAATGCTACTGTGAATAATATAATTCTTTGGTGCATGTATACATACTTCGGTGCATGTATATACACTTTTATATATTTCATTTATGTTATAACATATATATATAACTTCTCTCTATATATAGAGAAGTTTCATATATATATATAACATACATATAACTTATATACATCATTGAGTGGAATTGTGGGGAAATTCATATGTGGGTCATCCTTAGTAACTGCATATACTCATGTTACTTTACTAAGGATAGTAAAAAGTGATTCCATGTCAGAAAGTGCATAGCTCCGTTGAACAGAAATTTAGTCTTCTTCCCATTTTACTTTCACAGAGAGATTAAGTCAGCAGAGTATGAGGCTCAAAAGACCACACACAACCAGATGAAATAACTACGAAATGAAAAACTAAAACAATTACCAACAAGCTAATTTCCCCTTCAAACCCACACCATGACTTTAAGGAAGTTGCAAGCTGCTGTCTTAGAGACTAATTGTTTAAGCAGCTGAATTCAAATCAATACTTCCTTTGGAACACTGGGAAGGCTCAAATGGCCTTGGCATGCTATTGAGTCACAGAGGTACATTTTCTTTAGAGGAAAAAGTGATGAAAGTTAGAAATGGATGGGGTGGAAAGGAGCATCCGTGGACCCAGAGCTCCAAAATCTAAAGCAGAACCCTGGCAGTTAAGCTCCAGCTTAACTTTGCTATTTAGCAACCATGTTGCAAAGAAAAGCCACATAAAATCAAGATTTCATCAGAGGGCACTTTCTCCTATTCCAGGCACCACCTCTGGCGGGTACTTGTGTCTGTGGCTCCCTCCTTTACCCAGGCCGCATTCTCCAAGGGCCCCAAAACAGCATACCTATGTGTTTTTTGTTTTACCAAGCAGCGCCCAAGAGTTGCATCAATAGCATATCGTCTGATACATACCAGGGAAACGAAGAGAACCAAGAGTCTACGAAGGCAATCAGGAGACCAATTATTAGGCATAACATTTGATAGAAATTCTTTTTCCACTCATTGTTATTATCAAACCAGTAGAGAAGATTCAATATGATAATTATCAGGATGAGTCATCAGGAGCCACAGGGTGCTAGGGTCAAACTCAGGGCTTTGTGGTTTTGAGCTAGTGTCCTCCCAACAAGATAGCAAATTGCAAATCTAACTATCTTGGCTTGTTTCTCCAGTTTAGCCAACTGTAAAGTAAAGATTGCTTTAAGAAAGAAAAGAAGAGGGACACCTGGGTGGCCCAGTGGTTGAGCGTCTGCCTTTGGCTCAGGGGGTGATCCTAGGGTCCTGGGATAGAGTCCCACATCAGGCTCTCCGGAGGGAGCCTACTTCTCCCTCTGCCTATGTCTCTGCCTCTCTCTTTCTGTGTCTCTCACGAATAAATAAGAAAGAAAGGAAAAGAGAGAAAGAGCAAGAAAAAAGAAGAAAAGGAGGAAAAGTGAAGGAGTGGGGGGGTAGGGGGAGGCAAGGATCCTAAGAAATATTTCACCAGCCCAAATTTCCAGGGCAGTGCAGAGCATGTCTTCTATCCTGGTGGTCTGCTGCAGGTATAGGATGGTATACCTCACAGCTGCTTCTTCAACTTTCTCTAGAAACTTTAGTATCTCCCTCGGCTTCCAAAGGCCAATGACAGGCAGCTCTGAGGCAGCTCTTCTGGCAGCATAGAAGTGGCTGCCACAAGCCCCTCTCCAGGACGAATAAGAGAAAAGGAAGCAGAGAAAGGAATGTTTTCTCTCTGCAACTTTGTAACTGAACAATACACAGGAAGAAAGGAGCAGAACATTCTAAGTTCTGGAGTACAGACATAGCAGCCATCTGTGGCCACCTTGTCTAGAGCAGTGTTGTCTGATTTTCCATATTCTCTCTCACCATTAAACCAAAATAATTTGTCTCTTAATTTTAATTTAGAGAAGACAGTCACAGAATGCTACTGGTAGTTTACAGGTACCTTTAGCCATCTGTAGGTTCTGTAGCAACCATAATCCTTTCTGTTTTACAAAGCTCTTGGCTCTTAGAAGTTGCCAACAGTGTCCTACTTTAATTTTGAAAAATCTCATTTTTTTCCCCTAAACTGTTGAAAAAGAGCCTCTTCCCTCTCCCCACCCCCAGTTTTCAGGAGCACTTATCTTGAAAACTTCTTGCAGACATTTATTACTCCTCCTAAGAGGTGGCTAAGGTCTGTTACCCCCATTTTATTGCCAAGGAAACTGAGATAGTGAGAAGTTGAGTGGCTTGCCGAAGGTCATACACTGAGTCAGGGGCAAACTCAGAACTTGGTGTTCCTGGCAGCCTCACCAATCTCACCTCGGCTGCCTCGCCTCTATTTGAACTGTCTGGAAAATAGGCTTTCAAGAATTCTGACGAGTGCACTGAAACTACCAGTTTTATTTGTTAATGGTGACTTAGTAACTGCATATACTCATGTTATTCATTGACCTACAGCCAAAAGCCATTCATTTACTAGATGCATGGCCTACAAGGGACTATTTCCCTCACTTTTCACCGATTGCAATAAAACACTTCCCTGGGACCACACGAGAGTCCAATAAGACCAGACACCAAAGTAAAAGCATGAGTTGTCCTTTTGGTCTCTAAGAGAACAAATGTCTCAACTCCATACAAACTCTAGATCATGGCCTCTGTCACAAAACCCTTACCTCATGTTCCGGCCTGGTAGGCCACCTTCAGCCACCTAAGTGCTTCTGAGAGTGAGTCTCAGCGGGTTACAGAAACTGCCTGCATTCTGGTCTCTCCGATCCCCTCTTCACTCTCCCCTCCTGTATCCCTCAAAATCTCCAATGGCCTTGAAGGTTCATTTTAAGAATCGCCCTCCTAATAAGCCACTCCCTACTTCTCCACCAACCCTGAGGCCTGTTCCTTTGAAGCCCTTATCTAACGCCATCTTCTTTCACGGCCTAGCTTACCCACCAGCCTGTGCCCCCACCGTGGAAAGTCAACACTAGGACAGAAGGCTTTATTCACCTTCCTGTGGTCTGAGATGGAAAACGCAGTTCACCTCACGGAGTTTGGAACTGCTTGCTACAGGGGTAGGCAAACTTTTTTCTGGAAATATCTTAGACGTTGCCGGTTATGAACAGTTGCTGTTGATTCTTCTGCGCTTTCTTTGTTACCATGTTTTAAAAACATAAAAAACAGTCTTGGGTCCCAGGTCAGCTGGGGGCTGGATTGGCCCTCAGACCATAGTTTGCTTGAGACTGGCTTAGTGAATATTTCTGGCATTATCATCGATGGTCCTGAGTTATGTTGGAAATTACTTAGTTTGTGTTTACGGACATTTTTGCATAATTGATGATTTTTCTACTGGTTAAAAAATGACAGTGTTTGTGGCGTAGCTGGGTGGCTCAGTCCGTTAAGCATCTGCCTTCAGCTCAGATCATGAACTCAGGGTCCTGGGACAGAGCCTCTCGTAGGGGCTCCCTACTCAGTGGGGAGCCTGCTTCTCCCTCTTCCTCGGCTGCTCCTTTCTTCACCCCTCTCCTGCTCTCTCTCTCTCAAATAAATAAATAACATTTTTTTTAAATGACAGTATTTGTAAGGGAGAATGCTTTCTTCCATTTTTCTAATATTGTGAAAGATCAGTGGTGCACATAGCCCCAGTACATTTTTATATGCTTAATTAACTTTTGGTACTTTTAAATGAAATTCCATACTACGGCATCTGTATTTATTTATTTTTTTAAAATCCAAACAGTTAAAACCTGGCTTAAGCCCAGCATTTATGTATGTGGAATCATGAACTTGCAAAATCCATGCGTGCATCTTTTCACGTCATTCAAGGGCCAAATTCCATCACCTTTACAGAAATTGTGCCAGAGCTATTGAGGCCTTATGGTTGGTTTTTTTTTTTTTTTAGGAAGCAGGATAATAAAAGTAGCTCTATAACACTGATAGGATTGTTTTTTTAAGGTGTTGCAAAATGTTTCATTTGTCCTGTCAATGATTGCTCTGAAGCAGGATCTTGGACAAGTTAATATTTATAATGCCTGAAACTCTGGAAAGAAGGACAAAAGAAATGGTCCCTTTCAAGTCTCACAGCCCTGGGTTACTGTTTAGTGCCCACACGATACCACCCTTACCCCCTCCCCGGCCTCAGAATACTGCAGAATAATAAGCATTAACTGTTTAGTCATTTCCTGCGTCACGTTTGTCAGACATCATAGTCTTCCCCTATTAACATATCTAACCGAGTTACAGTTCAAACAGCCGGTTTCCATATCAGCAGCTGTTTGGTTTAATATCTTTTCAGCAAAGGTGCCATAGGGAGCCTTCCAAAGCCCTCCTGTTAATACTTCAGCCTGTTTTCCCGAGGAGATCCAGCTGAGACTAGTGTCCTGGTAATTTGCCAGAGTGTGTGATTCCTGAAACTTTCGCATATGAAATTCTCTTAAAGATGTCACATCTGAAAACCTCAGCGACATTTAATTGTGTGTTGGAGGGCATGTCATGATTTTATTGGTATGCTGGAGGTTAGTCTGTCCTGGGAGGGCAGCGTGCACACACTGTAATGGATGGTTGCACGGCCTATATGAAGGGAGGTCTGCAGAACTATAATAATCCCAGCGGAGGTGACGGTAGCAAGAAGCCTGTTGCCTTCTCCCTTTTGACAAGGAAGCCATGTTTCAAGTAGAGCTCTGTTAGCTAGGTGACCAATTAAGGAAGCAGAAAACAGCAAGAAGGAAGGTATAAAATTCTCTTATAAAAATCCTCTTCAAAATTAGAGCTATTTAGCACATAATAATGATACATGGGCAAAAGCAGTGCAGAATTTTATTAAAAATAATCTTGTCCTCTAAAAGTGAAGCTGGATCTACCATAATTTTTTTTGTTAAGATTTATTTATTTTAGAGAGAGTTTGAGAGCAGGAAGGAGGGGCAGAGGAAGAGAGAGCCGTAAGCGGACTCTATGCTGAGCACAAAGCCTGACCTGGGGCTCTATCCCAAGACACTGAGCAGAAACCAAGGGTCAGATGTTTAACTGTGCCACCCAGACACCACAGATCTACTGTAAATTTTTAAAATATCTTTGTTTCATTAAAGGACAGTGGGCTTTCATGCTAGAAATAGCCATGATTAAAAAATATATATCATTTGATATTAGCTTCTGTTTTATATTGAGAAAATGACATTTACTATATTTAAAATGCCTTATGAAAATGGAAAATACAAGAACAAATTGTGCTGAATTGAACAGTATTTTCTAAAGTTTGCACTAGCCTGGTAAATCAGTATTTCTTATTCTACTGGTTTTCTGCTGTTTGTTTCATATGTCGTGCAAGCAGGTAAGAAGAAACAGTGGAAAATACATTGTCTCTTTGGTTTTTAATTCTTAGCTTGCATGTGTCTGGGTTCAGAGTCTCTTAGGTTGAATCTTATGAAATTGCCACTTATTTAGGTAAAAAATCATCAGATATTGGCAATTTCATAAGTGGCTGCTGGCTACCTCCTCAATATTTCTCCTTTGTTATCCTGACAATTCTGTCTCTGATTCTTGTCAATTGGCCATGGGTAAATCAAAAAGTCACAGGATAAAAATTTATCCTTGCATAATAGGATAATAAGTAGTAATAGATAATAGATAAAAAATGAAAACAGATAATGATGGATAATAGATATATAGATGCAAGATAGATACGAACACATCATAGAATACAGAAGAGTATTTTATTCCTTCCAATCTCTTGGAAAAAAACAATAGAAACTTTCTCTTTTGTGAAGGAAATAAACATTCTTTTAACATGCCCCAAGTCAGGGGTTTTGAAGTCCTCCACTTATTTTCTTTATGAACTGATCATAATGTTAATAGCAGTTAACATTTATTGAATACCTCACCAAGTGCCAGTGTCTGTAAAAAGATATTTCCATTTTCTCTTTTCTTCCTCCAAACAACTCTAGGAGTTATCATCTCTGTTTTACAGATGAAACTTTTGGGAGAGCAAGAGGAGCCTTATGTTTTATTTGATTAAGTGGAGGGATTAACTGGAGAGATGGAAAAAAATTTTAGCCAGTCAACCTATTTTATGTCAAATAAACAAAGCCTTGGTGTCAAAATCTGGGAATCTCTATTGATATGGTTTGATTGCAAATCATACTTCTGTTCCTTGAATTTGAACTTTAAAATCTTAGTCTGTGCTAAGGTGATATGACCCCAGGATGTAATTTTCCTCTCAGTATATCCTTCTCTGTAAAATAACAAAATACCTATCTCATAGAAGCATTGAGATTTCCACTGATACTTGACATCTTCAGATAAAGATGAATATGAAGTAGTATAACCTATTCCAAAACTGAAGAGAACCACTCTTTGGTTATTCTGCTTTCATAATAATTGCCGTTTCTCATTTGTTAGTTTGTGGCAACAGATGGACAAGAAAAAAAAAAAGCTAGAATCCATAGAAAACATTCCGATAGATATCAGTTTTATAGATTTATAGTTTCTTTTCCTAAACTGTACTGTTCAACAAAGATAACAAAAATCTCTGCCATATGACATGCATTTTTAAAGGTATAGAGAATTTTAGTAATTTACATCCCCTGTACCTCCTCCACATTGTATATGACAAAGAACAGGAAAGAAAAACAGACGGAATTATTGCTACTCTCCAAAGAGCACATGTTTATGAGAACCTTGCTACAAAACCTAATCAGCCACATGAAAATGATGTATTTTTCTGAAGATTGCACATGAGTCAACGGCACAACTAGACAATGTCGTTTTAATTCTCCAGGTTGCAAAATTATCCAAAGAAAAGAAAGCTGATTTTTTTAAATGATAGCTAGAGACATCTTTGAAGACAGTTGAATCTGGGTTGGCAAGGCAAAAAGTCAAACAGCAGATCAAAACAAGAGAAGAAAACTGACTAAAATAAAAGTGATGATATGTTCATGTAATTTAAACATTCAAGTCTGTGTAAATGAATTAAAAATTTTCTCTGAAAGGTTCTGGTAATTTCTCACTCATTGTTAGATAGACCAAATAGTTTAAAACAAACAATCTGTAGAGGTTGAATTAAGGTCCTAGTTTTTAAAACGTGATTAGCAAAGCAGATGGTGATAAAAATTATCACTAAGTAATGATTATGGACACAGCTAAATTGAGCTGTCCAACTGGTATCTCTCATTCTTTGCCTACTTTGAATGTCTCAATCTTACCTCCCATATACACCTATTGTCCTTTCACACTTCTTTTTTTCAACAAGGAATGAAGTAGTTTATATATGGTACACCTGTTAAAAAAGAACACCTGAGAAGAGAGGAAACTCTAGTGAGATGGGACATGGTGATAAAGACCAATTCCTAAAATTCCACAACCACTTGCATTATTCACATATGCAACTTGACTCTAATTTAGAGAAGCGCTTTTCATGAAAACATTATATTACCAAGATTTAAACACTTGTTTTTTCCAAATTAGCTAACTCACTTTCCTTCAGATTAACTAGTTTACAAAAGAATATAATTGATTAGCGAAAAAACAGATTTGACTAATGAGTGAGCTCTGGAAGAGGCTTCTGAGTATGGAAGAGCATTAACTCATACAAATAAGTTGGAACAATGACTCCGGCGGGGAAAAGCACAGAGATGAAACAAGCAGTTGCCTAGGGCAGTGAATTAGCAAGGGCTGCAGACTCTCCAAGTGGCTTCCATGAGAGCAAACACAGCCTTGGAAATTGGATATTGCCCACTTTGCTGGAGTAGGAGAATCTGTAAATCGGGTACTCACTGGTGAAGTTAAGCAGCCACTCCGCTGAGCTCGGTGGGTGGATGACAGATGGATGTTTTAAAAGTGAATATTCAGAGTTCAGGGTTCACATTAATGCTCTCACTAGTATGGTTCCATAGGAGCGTGCTGCGCTGGCTGTAAGCCAAGCTTGCCTTCTGCCCCTTTCCTCTAGCCCCACGCAGGCTGCTGAGTATGAACCAAATGGCAATGACCAGTAGCAAAGATTGTCTTGGCTTTTGGCTTCTAGAAGGCTTAGAGTTTGCTTTTTGGGTTTTTTATTTTGGTCCCCCCACCCTCACTTCTGGCA